ACCACCCTGGCCGGCCTCCCCCCGTGAAGCTCCTAGCAGAGGAGCGCTGTACCTTCTACTGGAGGGTGCGAGAGCTCCGCGAGGAGGGAGGCTATCGGCCAGGGGCCTAGCGACCCTGAAGTCCCTGAAGGCCAGAGCCCGGATCTTGGAGCGATGGTCGGTCATGTTAGCCGACCCCCGCGGACCCGGGCTCCGAATAGCCGAAGCTGTCCGCCCCTGTCTGCCGGAGATGGCAGGAGGGGGCGCGGACTCAGCTTCCATCTGGTCCAGCATCATACGCTGGCCACATGCAGAGCATGGGGCCAGCAGCGCCGTGTCCTCGTCCGGGCAGTGAGGTGCCGAGAGGAGGAACTCTCGCTCCCGCGTATGGTCGGAGCCATGTGCGGGAACGAAGAGATATGGGGAACGGCGGCTTCCTTCAGTAGAGATGTAATGTCTTAGAAGGAGGCCGCCGAGTGGGAGCGCCGCCCCGGAACCCGTCGCAGGGAGCGACGGGGAAGGAGTCGGCGCTCCCCGGGCTTAGGTAGCGGCCCCGAGGTGGCGCCGGCCGAGGAACGGCCTCCGATTCGTCGGAAATCCCCTCCGCCGCCTGAGGGCCGCTTCCGTCCGCGCGGGGGGAGGGGGGACAAATGGTATAAGACCCGCTCCTCCCCGAACGACGGTGATGATAGGCAGGGGGGAGTGAGGCCTGTTTGGGGACGGGCCTCACTCCCCTGCTCTTCTCGCGGTTAAGAGGGGGACTAGGAGAGTGGGTAGGTGTCCTCACTTTCCAGAAATGGTACCAGAAGGCCAACCCGGCCGAGCGACCGGCCGGGGCGCCGCGCGCTCGACTCCCTTTGTGGGAGGGGGCGCGGCACTTGGGCGTGGGGCTCCAGTAGAGCCCCGGGGCCGGGGTGTTGGGGAGGGAATGCAGGCGTAGTTCCCCTGGCTCCCCTCACCACGGCCCGATTGGTAGACATCCCGGTGGGGTTTTAGTCAGTAAGAGTCCGACATAACCCCCGTCCTCCCCCAAAGGGGCGGGGGTATCCATGATGGGTTTCCCCACCGTTATAAGAAAAGAAAAAAAAGGATATCTAATCTAAAAATCTAATCTCATGCCAAAGGTTCCATTATCTTAATTCGAACAAAATATAGAATCTCTTAAAGTTATATATTTTGCATTCCTTATACAATTTAGCATCTGCATTTTTGCAAATTAATAAGCGTTGCCGTATTCTAATATATAATTGCATTAAAAAATACCAGCATTTAGAACAACATTTAATTGATCAATCAGAACAAAAAGAACTAAGATTTCTTTATCATGATTAATTAATTAAAGGTCCTACCTTCAGATTGTCAAAGGCTATTTTATTGTCTCTGAAGGCAGCTTAGAGATTCAATTATGTATCTTTTCCCCAGCGTAAACCTGTAAAAAGTGAAAAATTTCATTGAACTTCACTAAATTCATTAAAGAAGTTTTTCACTTGTCACACGTTCACGCTAGAGAAAAAAATTCTTCATCGACCCTCAAAAGCCATAAAACCGAGACGCATGAAACTTAAGACGTAAATAAAGTAAGCAATTATATTCATGATTGCAATCTTCCAGATTGAGAATGATCATGATTGGTCATTTTGTTTATTGCTTCTGACTCATGTATAGATAAGACCAATAAAATTACAAAAAAACAAGATAACAAATAAAATAACGAATTAATCGTCACCGTTACTGGATTACCGTTACCGTTAAATGTAACTACTGTTACAGTTACTGAAACAAATATAACGATAACGATGTTACAAATAATTCGTTATTTCCCAATCCTGTTTTATACATTATTAATAGTATAAATTATTAATATATTAATAATATTGTCCAGGAAATGTAATTGTGTTATCGATGCCATAAGAAGTAACATCATTACCAAATCGTTAACAGGAAGAACGAAATTTACGATAAAACGACATCAAGTTAAGATCATTAATGATCCATTTTTTCTAATTGTTTAAAGTTGTTAGTAACGCATTACTTCCCAACTCTGGTTCTTTGTATGAAGGTTCTTTGACATGGAGATTCTTTCAACTACCGAAAGATTGATCTAATGTCATGCGAATAATTCTATGTCTGATGGAAGATGAATAAAAAATATCACTAATACTGGTTACTTTCAGCAGAGAAAGCTGCTTTGCAACTGTTGTAAAATTCGTAAATCTGATTGATGCATGCTCCTGGATCCAACCATATTTAAGAGCATACGCCAATTAGACTCACGAATTTTACAACAGTTGTAAAGCAGCTTTTTCTACTAACACAACCAAACTCGAAGCTAAACTCGACAAGGAATTTACTGAAGGAATTGAAGTAGTTGTTACGCTGCACGCATAATCCTGAAATTGATCGTTTTCGACTCGAATTATCTCGGCCAAACTTCTACGATGCGCGCGATAACTTAAATACCTCAAGCAGGAATTTACGAGATGCGAGACATTTCAGAGGTAGATTAATTCTCATGGGAACATCTATCACGGTATGTGTACGGAGAATATCATATATATAGGGTGGTAAATTTCAAACGTAACAGGTAAAAAATCTCGAACACTATGAAAGAAATTAAAAAAAGCTAAAACACGTGTTCCATGATTTCGAAGGAGAAAGAGAATGGCATTATTAGTTTTTTATTTGGAGGGCAGTTTCAAGATCAGTTGAAGGTCAATTTAATTTTTTAAGATAGAAAGCCCAATTTTTTATTAGGTATACAAATGAATAATCCAAATTATTTTAAGCCTATATTTAAGTATTTATGAAATCAATTTTAAATTGAATAGATTTTCCTGTTCTTTTGTGATTATGCAATGTTGACATATAGCTATTAAAAAGAACATATAGTTTGGCGAAAGGCCCAACATAACCTTCAAAAGTATTCAGTTCAGTACAGTCGAAAATGGCAACAGATAAGGTGCATATCCGACACTGCATTCTTTACGAATTCCAACAAGGAAAAAAAGCTGCAAGAGTGTACGAATCGATTTGTTCCTTTCTCGGCGAAGGTGTTGTATCGTACGATGTGTGCGTATTTTGGTTTAAGCGGTTTAAAAGCGGTAATTTCAGTCTAATCGACAAACAACGCCTTGGAGGCCCTCCGAAGTGCGATAATGATGATTTGGAACAACTGCTCGCTGAGAATTCGGCACAAACATAAAAAGAGCTTGCAGAACAGTTGGGAGTAACGCATCAAACGATTTCTAAACGCCTACATGAAATGGGAAAGGTCCAGAAAAAAGGAAAATGGGTTCCGCATGAACTCACTGAAACCAACAAAAATCAACGAGTGGCAGTGTGTCTTTCTCTTCTCAATAAGCAGCGTCGAAAGTCTTTCTTGTGGAAAATCGTTACGGACGATGAAAAATGGATACTCTATGACAATCCGAAACGCAGAAAGTCATGGGTAAATCCCGGCGAATCATTAAAATCGGTCGCAAAACCCAATCGCTTCGGAAAGAAGGTTCTTCTCTGCATTTGGTGGGATATCAAGGGCGTGCTTTATTATAAATTGTTGGAACCGGCTGAAACAGTTACTGCGGACTACTACGTCAATTAATCTGCTTGAATCAAGAATTGGAACGAAAACGCCCGTATACTGGCAAAGGAGAACGTCCAGTGAAATTGTTGCATGACAACGCCAGGCCACACATTGCTTCCAATACAAAAGACACCATAATGAGTCTTGGCTGGGACGTCTTGCAGCACCCGGCGTATTCACCAGACATTGCTTCATCCGATTATCATTTGTTCCGGTCGATGTAACACGCCTTGTCCGATATGCACTTCCAATCAGTAGATGAGATTCGAAAATGGCTTGACGACTTTATCGTGTCCAAAGACGTAACATTTTTCCGAGATGGAATTCATCAACTGCCTGAAAGATGGCTTAAAGTTATAGAAAGCAAGGGTGAATACTTTGATTGAACAATTTAATTTACTTTCTTTTAAAATAAACCTTGAATATAGTTGAAAAAATTGGATTATTCATTTGTACACCTAACATTATATCTTCTTTTTCTATCAATTAATTTTAACAACTTTTGAAACATTTTTTTATTTGCCTAATATTTTTTTAAATATTTAAGGAAAACTTGATAACTTTTTTACATTTCGGTATCTCGCTAACTATTCGTCGAAAGAAAAAATAGTATTAGACTTTTTTACTTTATTTACTATCAAGAATATATTATTATAATAGTGCCCTAATTTTTGTTAACAAATCAACTTTCGGAAATTTCAAAATTATTAAATTAGCACCCTGTATATACGTCGTCGGCGCCAATGCATATAAACCACAAAGGCGAGATGTGATGTTGCATCAATCATGAATGTCGTTAGCGGCGCAACCGATAAAAATGCAATACAGATTTTACGCTCGATAAATCGCTGAAATATCGAGGCCGTTAGACGACCTCATGTTTTATTGTAACAACCGATAAAAACTAACGAGCTCTGAACAACAACGGAAGACTGATTGTTTATATTAGAAAAAGCTGACTGTTTACTTTAGAGAAGGAGAAAAGTTCTTCCGCGCGAGAACGACTCGATGACGTCACTCAGGGGCGCAATTTAAGACGCGTGAATAATTGCATTTCTCGGATTATTCCGCTATCGATTGCGGGTCGCATCGCGAACATTCTTTCTCCTTTTTATTCTATTTCTTCTTTTTTTACCTCAGGAATATATTCCGTTAATTCTAGAGAAATATTTTCAACCGCGACAACGCCGCTGCAAGCGGCGGAGAGGCATGGAGAGAGAGAGAGAGAGAGAGAGAGAGAGAGAGAGGGAGGGAGGGAGGGAGAGAGTATAAGAGATTGCCCATAAAAGATGAGAATGCGTTATTGATTTTTCGCTCGATAAATCGCCAGAATATCGTTCGCTTTGAGCGAACGCCATGCTACCGAACTCTGCGCATAACGCGGCACTCGAAATAAAAATGCTCCGGTTAAACGCCGACGACAGTAATCGCGCGCCGAAAGACACTTTATCGATTTGCAGCGATACGCGCAGAATTTCACCCGTTCGAAAAAAAAGAGGAAAAAAAATAGCACAACCACGATTTTCGAGAAATCGCACGCTTCGCATTTCCGCTGATTTGAAGGTTCATTCAGCCGACCCCAAAATCACTCTTCCTCTTTCTTTTGCCACCTACCCGCTCTCGTTTCTTCGCATGTTCACGAATTTCCACTTGTAACGTGTCACGAAGTGAGGTGTAATTTTGCCGAAGCGTACTACTCTGCGTACGAGCGAGTGAGAAGGTACCGGATGACGTTTGTTTCTTCTCTTTTTCTTTTCTCGAACCCTGTTTACTCGCGAACGCGCGCCTTTTACTACAGTGACAGATCTATCTAGCGAGTTCGATCGACAAGAGTGCGAAAAGAGCTTCCCGTAAAGATGTCTTCGCCGCACGTTAGTAACTCGCGCGACCCGAACAAAAGCATTTCCAGCCGGAAGAAGTGGTGGAAGCGAAGAGGTCTCAAGTGGTCACTCGGGTTGAACGCGTTTGAACGTTTCGCACTCCCGTTTTGCTTGCTGAGTCTCGTTGTCCCGAGGATAAACGCACGTCCGGCTTGTCCCGATATGGAAATGTCAGGTGAATAGCATATAACGATCACACGCGGCGCGCGTGTCTTTCGGAAAAAAATCATCCTCTTCGAATAACTTCATCAAACTCCTTATATTGATCGCTAATTAATTGGTTAAGAATCGCTAATAGCAATTTCTAGTTGTGTACATTAATAATTAATATTAATAGAATTAGATAAATCAATATATTCTTTTAGAAAAAGTTAGAGATTTATAAAATCAATTTAGTTAATCTAAAAGTTACTTGAACAAAAACTAACTTAATTGATTAACTTTTTAACTCAGTTGAAAATTAAATTAAAAAATTACATTATTAAAGTTAAATTAAGTAACTTGTTGAAGTTAAGTTATTAATAAATTAGTTAAGTTTGGTTAAAATTAACTTATTAAAATTGAGAATTAATTATTTGAAACATTATTGTTTTTTTACGTATAAATAGCTTTTTAATCGTATGTTAAATTTACACAAAATAATAATTAAAAAGTTTTTTACGAAAAAAGTTTTTTAAGGAAATATCAACTGTAATCACAATTCTATATTTACAATTAGCATTCTATACAAGAAACGAATATTGCTGCTTAAAAAAAAGAAAAAGAATTTTATATAATTTTTTATTTTTCCTCTTCTACATTATAAGTAGCCAGCATTTATTTTAATATCGATCAATTATCTTAATTTATACAGAGTTAATAAATTAATATTAATGTCTTTTAAACTAATAACAAAGAGTTAAGAGTTGGTTCTTCTAAAATAAATTAAGTTAAAAGTTGTTAACTTTATAACTTTTTAACTTAACTTTTAACTAATTAACTGAGTCATTACACTATCCTGAGTATTATCCATGATATATTAATCCATTTGTATTATTAGGAAACTTGAAAAATTGCTGATTCTTTCTTCTTTAAATTGACGTGAAATATAATAAAGCGGATTGGGAACATATGATTTTTATGATTTGATCCATCATCAATGAGAAATCATGATTTGGAAAATCCTTTTATGAACTCCAATATGACCAGGCGAAATGAACGGATATATCCGCTTGAGACGCAAATGGATTAAAGCTCTCAGACATTCAATCACGAATAAATTTGAAGACTAATAAGAACCGTTGCAAGATAACAGTCACGAATAATAATTTTGCAAAAAGATAATAATATCAATGAAGCGTACATGCCGAGAAATTATTTTGTCCTAACATACGCGAAGCACGAAACAGAAACCATCTTCCTGTGTCGAGAGTTATATTATTTTAAACATTTTGACTTCATTACTGTTTGTATTATTTGTTGAACAGTGTTCGATGTGAGACTAAACATTTACATTTTTACTGTATTATCATATGTACATAATATTTTCCAACAATTTATTTTTTTCTATTCAATAATATTTTCGAAGATCAGCACTCAACTCTATATATATATATATATATATATATATATATATATATATATATAGGGTGTCCCATTTTAATGTCCCACCCCAAATAACGCTTCAGTATTGAAGTTTCAAGGAAAATGATCTGAATAAAAGTTGTAGGGATTTAAGTGAACTACCTTATGATGACATTGACTTTGACCTTGGCCTCTATTTTCAAGATCATTTGAAGGTCAACTTACGTTTTTTAAATGGGAATTATTTTTAACTTACCGATTTTTGGAAATTTCAAAATCATCAAATTAACAAAAATCAAGGCGCTATTGTAACAATATATTCTTGAGACTAAATAAAGCAAGAAAGTCTAGTACCACTTTTTCTTCCGACAAATAATTAGCGAGATAAGTTAAATATTGAAAAAGTTATCAAGTTTTCCTCAAATATCTCAAAAAATATTAGACAAATAAAAAAATGTTTTAGACAAATGTTATTCAAATTATATTATATTATAGTTATTATAGCTATTATAGTAGAAAAAAGTAGTGTAATAAAAAATAAGGATTCGTATTTAAAAAACGCGTTGACCTTCAAGTGACCTTGAAAATTGAGGTCAAGGTCAAAGTCAAGGTCATCATAAGGTAGTTCACTTAAATCCCTACAACTTTTATTCAGACCATTTTCCTTGAAACTTTAATACTGAAGAGTTATTTAGAGTGGGACATTAAAATGGGACACCCTGTATATATATTAGACTTTTCTCTTTTATATTAATATAATTTTTAATTGAAAACTAATACACAACTAATATTCTAATAGCTTGTTCGATTTCTTTTCAAATGGCTAAAAGGTTAATAATTCTGTATACCATCACAGCAGAAAAAAAAGTTGCAACATTTCAATCTCGAACGCATAGTCCAGCAAAAGTTTTCTATAATTCTGGAAAGATAAATTTTCCTAATTGAACATATGCGTTCTACAATTGGTCGAGATAAAAATATTGCAACCTTCTTACTATTGACTTGATGTTAGCAAAATATATACAAAATATATAAAAAAATAAAACAGTTAATATTTGCCCTCCCGATCGCAATTTTAAAAATATGTTTTAAACAAAAAATAGGAAAATTTCCTCATTCGTTTCTGATGCAATGTGATAACAAGATTTGTTTTATTTTGCACCTTGCTAACTCTGTTGACTGTATTAATTATCAATTAGCTCAATCGCAGTTTGATAAATGTCATCCTTAATTTTTTGGCTAAGTTCATATTTTTACGATATAGTATTGCAATCGCGCACACGCGAATGGCATATGTTATCTTCAATCTGCACGTTTTCCAATTATTATCGTGTTGCAGAAGACAACGATATAACGTGTGACATCGTACGCGACATTCTCGACACCCACAACAGGATACGTCAGTCTATCGCCGAAGGATCAATTAATACTCAACCACCTGCTGTCAATATGCGCGAGCTGGTGCGTCGCGATAAAATATAAACTGCCATGTCTACATCATTCGACACGATATTCTTAATGTTTCCTACATACTAACGATCTTTACAAGCATGATAAAATTCTCGTGATCTTCCATATTAAAAAATATTATCCTTCTAAAATATTTAAAAATATTATTCAAAAATATCCGTATTCAAAAATTTTATCATATCTAAAAATTTACTCAAAATTGATCGTTTAGATAATCGACGAGTTTTTAAAATTTTTAAGAAGAAATATCGCAAAAAAGAACCTTCAAGATTCCAAAGAAACTTCTTTCTTATTTCTAAAATATTTACTACGCCCATAAAAAATAGATCATCAAAACAACTCGAACTAAATTAAACGAACTCCATTTCAAAATTGTATATAGCGGATTTTGTTCTTTATTCTTAGCAAAATTTTTCTGTTTTCTAATATCTTGTTTGTTTAAAACAAATTCAAAATTTAGTTCACGATATGACACGATCATAAAGCTTTACAAACAGCAATACATTATTCGTCATATTTATTGTCTAATTTGCTTAATTTCCGTTACTGATAGCAGTTAATCAACTCATGCAATCAACCTTAAAAGAACATTTATATCATATATACAACTACGTGTCTTAGCTACATTAACTTTTCTTATTATTTATTGAATTTGTTTGACTTTTTTATTTCTACATGGGTTTATTAATCTGATTGGACTTTTATTCTTGGATCTATCCTGATTGCAGTTTGTGCAAAAAATTTATTGTAACGTAAATCCTGACGTAAACCTAATCCTAAGAGTAGTTCCCAATTCTTTCACCTAATTCTTTTAAGTATAAAAGAAGATTACTACTCTAGAAAAAGCTTTTTCCTCGGACATTTAATAAAAACAAACAGTCGTTTTATTAATTCCAAATAGTACCATTGTGATACACCTCAATTCAGTTAAAGAACCGATTTATTATATTTTTGATAAAAAAAATAAATTTATTCTTTGTCCTTTTTGCATAGAAGATTTCTGAGAAGGAAAAAGTAATCAATTCGTACAAATTAAAAACATTAGAAACATCAGTCCTTATAAATAATTGAAACTGTTTAAAAAAGAAACTCAAGAACTGAAATTGGAGAACCCCAACAGTATACCGAGAGTTAACAAAAAAAATTATTCGTAACACTGAGATAAAAAATCGAAGCTTTTCCGAGCTTCTTCCGAACATTCGCATTGTCTCATCATTTATATGCTGCATCCATCTGCACATTAATTTCATCTCGCTTATTATTCATCTTCACAGTACTGGGATTCCGAGCTCGCATCTGGCGCCCAAGACTGGGCGAATCAATGCGTCTTCGAGCACAACGATCCTAAAGACAGAGAAGTCGGTACGTGTAACGTATAATATCCCAAACGTAAACACTCATTTCCATTTGCTGCGGGCGCTTCTCTCGTGATTAATGGCAGTACTTGATGCGAAGCATTTTATGATCGCTTGTTGTGCGCGGTAAAACGGTCGAGCATTGTTCAAAGTGAAACACGAAACACATCTCCGCAACTATGGAGGATCATTTAGCAGATCCGATAAAAATAATTGTATATGATTATATATGAATTTTGTCTTTCTATATGATCATATGTGTAAACATATATGTAATTATAAATATCCACACTATAAAAAATGTTATTACAAATACAATTCCAGTAGCTTATTTATCTGAAACTTATTTTTATAACAATTTATGATGTATAATTGAACGAAACAATTGTTTTTCTTTTCTTCATTCAACGTTTCCTCCAATGTAGATATATATAATTTCATATGGTCATATGTATATATTGGGTGAGTGCAAAAGTTCGTGCGGAGTTTGTGAGTAAAAGTCACACAGTGATTAGGTAAACAAAAATCTTTATTCAATCAATGATATATTCTCCATCGTTTTCTATAATCTTTTCCCAACGTTCTGGCAGCATACGGATGCCTCGATCATAAAAACTGCGCGGTTTAGATTCAACGAACGAAGAGACGCCGTTTTTTAAGGCCTCCAAAGAGTCAAAGTTTTTTCCATTTAAATAATTTTGCAATGACCGGAACAAGTGATAGTCAGATGGTGCGATATCAGGAGAATACGGTGGATGCGTTAAGACATCCCATTTCAGGCTCTTCAGTTTGCGCAGCGTCTTTTTCGAAACGTGTGGTCTGGCGTTGTCGTGATGAAAGACGACTCCCTTGCGATTTGACAAAATCGGACGTTTCTCTTTTATTTCTCGATTCAGATTGGTTAATTGGCGACAGTACTTGTCCGAATCAATCGTTTCGCCAGCGGGGAGAAGCTCGAAATAGATTATGCCCTTGCAATCCCACCAAACAGAGAGCATCACCTTCATCGGGTGCAAACTGGCCTTTGGCATTGCGTCACCATGCTCACCTGATTGTTTCCATGTCCGTTTGCGCTGAACATTGTTGTAGAGGACCCATTTCTCATCGCCCGTCACTAGTCGATCCAAAAACGACTCGTTATTGAGCCGCCCTAGTAAAGAAACGGCTGCAGAAATTCGCTTGATTTTGTTCTTCTCGGTCAGCAAATGGGGCACCCATATATCGAACTTCAAATCGAATCCCATCTTTTTTAAACGCCGAAAAGCGGTTGATCGGTCAACGTTTAGTGCTGTAGCAACTTCTTCTGTTGAAATTCGCGGATTATTGAGCACTAAAGTACGCAAAACATCGTCATCAATGTCAGAAGGTCGACCAGAGCGTGGCTCGTCTTCAAGGTTAAATTCTCCGCGCCGAAATTTAGCAAACCATTTTTCCACAGTTCGTTTAGCTGGTGCTTCATCCTGATAAACATCCTGAATGTTTTTTACGGCTGCGGCAACGTTTATTCCCTTCCGAAACTCGTAAAGCATAACATGCCGTAAATGCACCTTATCGATACTCATTTTTAAAGTGATATTTCTCGAAGCAGTTTGTATGAAAACAAATGATTTTTTTTTAATAACAGCTGAAGACGTCACCTTTCCAACGTTATATAATATGTAGATGGAAGTATTAACAACACTTTACGACGCTTATAACTCCATCTACTGAAACTCCGCACGAACTTTTGCACTCACCCAATACTAAGTGCGCAACTAAGTTTCCGGGTTTTTTTGATCAATGAAAAATGGAAAATTTCAAGAGAAATACAAAAAATGGTTTATTCAAAGTATCGTCCCTCGCTAGCTACACATTTTTGCCATCTCTCTGGCAATACGTGAACACCGCGACGATAAAACGACGCGTCTTTGGTCCGAAACCATTCATCCAACCAATTTTGCACTTCTTCGAAATTGGCCAAGTGTTACCCAGCCAAGCCATGCGACATCGACCGGAACAAGTAATAATCGAAAAGGATCAGGTCTGGAGAATACGGCAGGTGCAGTAGCAAATTCCATTTCAGCGTTTTGATGATGTCCTGGACGATGGAAGTGCGATGGCACGGAGCGTTGTCGTGCTGCAATATCACTCGTTCGTGTCTCGTGTCCCATTCTGGCCGTTTTTCGAGCAATGCATGGTTCAAATTGATCAGTTGTTGTCGGTAGCGATGCCCATTGACAGTTTCGCCCGATTTCAGCAGCTCATAGTACACGATTCCTTTCTGGTCCCACCAAACGCAGAGCATTGTCTTCTTTCCGAAGAGATTTGGCCGTGCCGTCGATGTTGATGCTTCGCCAGGTGAAGCCACGATTTTTTGCGTTTGGGATTCTCGAAATATATCCACTTCTCATCGCCAGTAACAATTCGATGCAGGAAACTCTTTCTTTCATACCACAAAAGCAAAATTTCGGAAGTGACTTTTCGATTTTCCATCTGTCTCTCAGTCAACTCATGCGGCACCCATTTTCCTTCCTTTTGAATTTTTCCCATGGCATGTAAACGTTTGGAAATACCTTGGCGAGTCATGTTTAATGCCTCCGCAAGTTGATCTTGTGTTTGCGAAGCAAGCTCGTATAATGTCAAAAGAAGAAATATAGCGAATTATTTAAATATATTTTTTCCATATCAGCGAGATTCCCCGTTGGACAGAATATTGGCTTGATGAAGTCAATGCGAAAAAATCAAGATAGCGTAAAAATTGATTTTCCTAAGCAGATACATAATTGGTTTGACGAGCATAACGTGTACCAGTTCGGCGTGATTGACGAAAAAACTTTACCAGCAGTTGGCCATTATACACAGGTTGAGTAATGAATATATATACTTACTATAAAATTTAATTTTATATACAGGGTCCTCAAAAAGTCCGAGAATGCTAAAATATTTCGAAAAATATGAATAATACGAAAAAATGTTTCATACAAAAGTTGTAGGGCATAAAAAGATATATTTAGTAGTCATATCAGTTTGACCATAGGTGGCGTTGCTAAGATCATATGAAGGTTAACTTTGTGTTTTTAAATAGAACCCCCTACTTTGATTAGAAATTCTTATAACTTATCTCGAGAGGTTTCCAAAACACTATAATGAAGTCATATTTTATTAAGTTTTTTCCGAGTTACGACGCTTGAAAGTTACAGTACCGCCGGCATTAGCATTACCCAAAGCGTATCGCGCGGAGGTTGCACGGTCGGATTTACACCTCGCGCGCGTGTGTGTGTGTGTGTGTGTGTGTGTGTGTGTGTGTGTGTGTGGCACTACAGAGATCAGGACCCTACGGTTCGTCACTCCCGCAATATTTTCAGACTCCAAACCCTCTCCGTAATGTGTGTGTGTGTGTGTGTGTGTGTGTGTGTGTGTGTGTGTAGGTAACATTTTTCAAGCTATTGTTTTTTACTTTTTCAATTAATCAAATGTTCAAAATGTCTACCTTCTACTGTTTGGCAATGAGCTAAACTATTCATAGAAACTATTGATCGCATGGCTTATTTGTTCTAAAGTGATCAGAGATGCTTCCTGCATTGTTCGATCCTTCAGGTCTTCCAAATTACATGGTTTTGTCGCTTAAACCTTACTTTTGATGTGTCCCCAAAAAAAAAGAGATAGATCAAGAGGAGATAGATCAAGTAATCTAGCAGGTCACTCAATAGCAACCCTTCTAACTATCCATCGATTAGGAAAAGAACAGTTTAAAAATTCTCGAACTCGTACCGCAAAATGAAGTCCTGTCCCATCTTACTGGAACCAAACGTTTTGCATGTTTGCGTCAAATAAATTTTCAATTTCAGGAATGATATGATCTCGCAATAAATTTTCATATTTTTCAGCATTTAAATCACTATCTATGAAAAATGGGCCTATAATACTGCAATACAGATCCCTGTCCAAATCCATTCAATTTTTGGATATTGGTGCGAGATCACTCATCCAATGTGGATTTCGTCATTCCAATATCTACAATTTGGCGATTAACAGACCACTTATTTGAAATGTAGCTTCATCAGAAAAAATAAAAATTCAAGAAGTAGCATGATTATCACACCGATGCATCAGTTTTTCACAAATTGAATTCTTCTATCAGAATTATCTTCCATAAGTTCTTAGCGATAACAATTTTATACGGATAAAAGTTACAGTACCGCCGGCATTAGCATTACCCAAAGCGTATCGCGCGAGGTTGCACGGTCGGATTTACACCTCGCGCGCGTGTGTGTGTGTGTGTGTGTGTGTGTGTGTGTGTGTGTGTGTGTGTGTATGTGTGTGTGTGTGTGTGTGTGTGGCACTACAGAGATCAGGACCCTACGGTTCGTCACTCCCGCAATATTTTCAGACTCCAAACCCTCTCCGTAATGTGTGTGTGTGTGTGTGTGTGTGTGTGTGTGTGTAGGTAACATTTTTCAAGTCTATTGTTTTTTACTTTTTCAATTAATCAAATGTTCAAAATGTCACCTTCTACTGTTTGGCAATGAGCTAAACTATTCATAGAAACTATTGATCGCATGGCTTATTTGTTCTAAAGTGATCAGAGATGCTTCCTGCATTGTTCGATCCTTCAGGTCTTCCAAATTACATGGTTTTGTCGCTTAAACCTTACTTTTGATGTGTCTCCAAAAAAAAAAGAGATAGATCAAGAGGAGATAGATCAAGTAATCTAGCAGGTCACTCAATAGCAACCCTTCTAACTATCCATCGATTAGGAAAAGAACAGTTTAAAAATTCTCGAACTCGTACCGCAAAATGAAGTCCTGTCCCATCTTACTGGAACCAAACGTTTTGCATGTTTGCGTCAAATAAATTTTCAATTTCAGGAATGATATGATCTCGCAATAAATTTTCATATTTTTCAGCATTTAAATCACTATCTATGAAAAATGGGCCTATAATACTGCAACTACAGATCCCTGTCCAAACATTCAATTTTTGTGGATATTGTGTGCGAAGATCACTCATCCAATGTGGATTTTCGTCATTCCAATATCTACAATTGTGGCGATTAACAGCACCACTTATTTGAAATGTAGCTTCATCAGAAAAAATAACAAAATTCAAGAAGTTAGCATGATTATCACACCGATGCATCAGTTTTTCACAAAATTGAATTCTTCTATCAGAATCATCTTCCATAAGTTCTTAAGCGATAACAATTTTATACGGATAATATTTATGCTCTTTTAAAATGTTAGAAACGCTGCCTTCCCTAATATCATGGGCTTGTGCTGTTTTTGATACGGACAAATGAGGATTTTCCTGAAATGATTGGAGAACAAAGTCTTATCATCATTAGTTGCGGATTTTGGCCTTCCGCTGCGAGATCAGTCCTTAACTGTTCCCGTTTCAAAAAAACGAGTCACTGTTCTGCAAACGATGGATTTAAAAATAGGATCGAGATCAGGATGTGTAACATTAAGTAGATCAGCTACTTCTTGATATGATCTAATACGGTCACCAAATCCTCGATAAATAAATAAATAGCAATATTCTTTCTTTTTCGGTCAACATTTTTCAGAGAAAAATGTGATATTATAATCGGAAAAAGGAACAAAAGAGATAAAGAGCGAGATACGAGCGAGCGTAACTCGTTTTTAGAATATGTGGATCGAGAAGAGATCTTCGATCGCACCTCCGCGCGGTACACTTTGGGTAATGCTAATGAGTGAGTGAGTGAAAGTGAGAGAGAGATGAGTAAGAGAGAGGAGTGAGAGAGAGAGAGAGAGAGAGAGAGAGAGAGAGAAGTAGAGAGGGAGGGGGAGGGGGAGGGAGGGAAGAAGCGAGAGGGAGAGAGAGAAAGAGTGAGAGTGATAAGAGGGTGAGGGGGCAGAATGAGAGAGGGAATGTCTAAAGATAATACATAACATAAGTTTTTACAAGTAAAACTTATATAAAATTTACCTTTTTAAACAAAAAGGTAAAAAAAAGGCGCCAAGTACAAGCGCAACACGTATTGTGTTATTTTTAAAAATATCAAACTCAAATTATTTTTTTAAGGTATATATATATGTGTGTACATAAATTTTTACAAGTAAAACTTATAATTATTAGGAGTACAAATAAGTTTCCGCCGTTTCCTATCAAAAATTAGGAATTTATTGTGAAAGAACGGTACATTATGTTTCATTCAAAGTATTGTCCATCACTAGCCATTACTTTTTCCCATCTTTCTGGCAGCATTCGGATACCACGTCAGAAGAACTCTTCATCTTTTGAGACTATCCACGAATCGACCCAATTTTTAGTATCTTCATATGATGTAAAGCGCTGCTTAGACAGGCCATGTGCCATCAACCGGAACAAGCGATAATCGGAAGGGACAATGTCTGGTGAATACGGCGGATGGGGTAGGACTTCCCAATTAAGTGTTTCCAAATAGGTTTTGACTGATTTTGCAACATGTGGCCGAGCGTTGTCATGTAGGAGAATAATTTTGTCGTGTCTGGAGTAATAATGGACGCGTTTTTCCTTGAGTGCTCGGCTCAATCTCATTAATTGTGTTCGGTAGAGAGCTCCAGTAATGGTTTCGCTCGGTTTGAGCAACTCATAATACACGACATCAAGCTGATCCCACCAAATACATAGCATGAGCTTTTTCAATGAATATTCGATTTGGCTGTCGATGTTGAAGCATGGCCAGGTGGTCCCCATGATTTTCTCTTCTTTGGGTTATCGTAGTGGATCCATTTTTCATCACCAGTGATTATACGATGCAAAAAACCCTTTCTTTTATGCCTGGTAAGCAGCATTTCACACGTGCAAAATCGGCGTTCAACGTCTCTCGGCTTCAGTTCATATGGAACCCAATTTCCTTGTTTTTGAATCATTCCCAACGATTTTAAACGATGTGAAATTGCTTGTTGAGTCACTTCTAATGTAAATGCAAGTTCTTCTTGCGTTTGGCACGAATCTTCCTCTAATAATGCTTCCAATTCCGTGTCTTCGTACACTTTCGATCTTCCACTACGTTCTTTGTCTTCCACGTCAAACTCACCGTTTTTAAACTTTTGAAACCACTCACGACAACTTCTCTCACTTAAAGCAGTCTCGCCATATGCTTCTACAAGCAGTCGATACGCCTCAGCTGCAGATTTCTTCAAATTAAAGAAGTAAATCAAAAGTTCCCGCAAATGACGCTTATTCGGCACAAAACTTGATATTTTCGCACGAAAAAAATTATGTGATGCTGATACGGAGTCACTAATACTTCAAAGTTATGTTGTTACCAGATGTCCAAACTTACGATATTACGTTTTACATCTGACAATTTTAACATAACCTTCTGGTGGGGCCATCTTTTGTCAAACGGCGGAAACTCATTTGTATTCCTAATATAATAAAACTCTACAATACTATTCTACTATATAAAAAAAGTGATATATTAGAACAGTAGCGCTAACTGAGAAACCTAACATATATATATATGATTATTGTTTACTTAATATTTTTAGAAATCTGAAATTCAAATTATTTCCTTATTTTAAGATATATATATATTATGTATATAACATAAGTTTTTACAAGTAAAATGTATCAAATTATTTTTCTTTTAAGATATAGGTATGTAAATATGAAACCGGAATTTTTATATAGAAAATACACGTTTATTGTATGAAAATGATAAAAAATATTTTATTCGAAGTATTGCCCATCGCTAACTATACATTTTTCCCACCTGTCTGACAATTTGTGGATGCCACACCAAAAAACTGTTGCTCTTTTGAGACAAACCAACCAGTCATCGAGCCATTTTCGTAAGAAGTGAAGTGCTACTCAGCAAGTGCGTGTCCCATCGATGCAAATAAGTAGTAATC